TTAAACAACGATTATACCATTTTTTTAAGTGTCACTTATCACTGTCCGAATAACTTTRTTTATTATCAATATAAACTTTTAACAATCTGYATACAAACCGATCCTGAGGCATTCAAAATCCTTATATTACAATATGAAATAAAAACACAGTATTTGAAATTATATTTATTGAATTATATTCCAAAATAGATTAGTTATAAGACAGTTTCAAAGAAGGATGATTAATGTTATTGAATAGTCACCTATTACATTTATGAATATATATGAATATAATCTAAATCTACAAATCATTGATACAACAATATTATAAACTAAGAAAATGGCAAACTGGTATACTAAAAACGCGAGTAATTTAATTATCATCAGAAAAACTCATTGTGTCTTATAGCACTCATGAATGAAACCAATAYTTTTTCCGTCTACTCAGTGAGTACATACAACCATGTTATGATTAATTTAGTCAAAATAATAATATTCATAATAATAATAATTAAAAACGAAAAAATACAATTTTTTTTAGACACAAAAGTTTTCTTACACAATACAAACTACAATATCCATGAGTATATAGACTAAAATAGTAAAATAATTAATTTTAAATTTAAAAGTGCATATTATAATAGTTTTTCAAGTAATAAGTATTTAATATTCGTGCAATTACTAGTTTATATAATTATTATATAGGTAGTTATATTAGATAATGTAAAAAACAAAAATTACAAAAAACAACATAATTGAATATGTACAATTTACACCGATCGTTAATTGGTAAAGTGGAACTGTTGATATAATATCTTTTCTTTTTGGCTTACATTATCATTCGTATTATTACATGAAAAAATTATAACTGGCATTCACATTATGGACAAGTAATATTTAATTTATCTGTTAAACATTACGTTCGGGGGATACGTTGATCTCGAAACTAGATGTTCTTCAAAGAAAAAAAAAGAAGAAGAAGTACATACTATATATTGTATASAGCAGACGACATTAAAATAACGTTATGTGCAGTTGAATCATGGTAAAATACGTAAAATCAGTACTGAGTACTGTTACCCTATAATTTGATCCTGGGACTTAAGTTTAGATGTTRAAACTTTTTGGACAGTTGATTATTTTTTTATACGATATCTGCAGTGGGAAGGCTGAAATTTTAAATTATGTAAATCGTATACGAAATAATGTATGTAATTTTAAATTATATCATCATCTCGAGCAGTGTTTTAGGTTATTAATAATATGTTGTAGATAGRTATATAATAGTTGTTATATTGTTTCTCTGGCACAACGGACAAATGAGCGAGATTCAAGTAAATAAGAACATTCCTTTTTCATAGAAGTTGTCCTGGCTGTAAATGTCTGAGTTAACAATATAATTACGGTTTAGAAGTTTTAAAAGGAAAAAAATTGAGTGCAGTGTATTACATTCGTATACATAATATCATTATTATAAAATTCAACTTCGTAACGCAGAACTTYTTATATTATAGGTATATGACGTATAATGGTGTGGACGTATGACGATGTTATTTTATTTTATAAAGTCTATCGCATTTGTRTATTTTCTGAGAGCGTATTATCGTTAGGCGATGGGGGTCGATATTGGTTTATGGGGTTGAACAAAAAAAACAAGGGYGGTGGAGGACGGAAAAATGTACATTTCCAATCCCCAGGTGGTGGTGCCAGAGGTCGGCTCGTGACCTGAAGCAGCTGAATACCGATAACGCGATA